TTTTTTTTTTTTTTTTTTTGTTTTTTGTCTTTTTTCCGTGTCCGGCAACGGATCGCAACCCTCAGTGTTGCCCCCGTACCGGACCGGGGACCGGCAACGGGATTGCAAGCCTCGGTGTTGCTCCCGCGCCTCGCTCAGCCAGTGAGCGGGAACCGGTCTGTATGTGGGATCCGAACCCTCGGGCGGGAGCGCCGCCACGCTTCCCAAGCGGCATACTATCCAGTGCGCCACCGGGCCGGCCCCTTTCCTGTACTATTTTAAGAAAATTCAAGGACTCAAAGATATAGCACAAGTACAGATAAAGGATGATATCTAAGAGATAGTATTAAGTGATTAAAAAGTAGAGTACAGAATAAGTTGTGTTCTATGCTACCATTTGTGAACAAATATGCTTGCCTATGTAAATACTTTGTATAGATATCTGGACTAACTTACAAATAATTGTAACTAGGACATAAAGGATAACTAGGAAATTGGAGTTTAGGAGTGTAAGACAGACTTTTACAAGTGCTATTTGGTACTGTTTCCATTTTTAAAAACTATGCACATCTATTACTTTAAAAATATTAAAACACATGGGCCGGCCCGGTGGCGCACTGGATAAGTGCGCCGCTTGGGAAGCGCGGTGGCGCTCCTGCCCGAGGGTTNAAATCACAAAATCAATCTACTTTCAAGAAATATTAGAAAACATAGAAAAGAAAAAAGACAATTAAAGAGATAATTATCTTCTTAAAAGATAACTAAGAAATGCTACCATCAGAAAATAACTATTAACATTTTGATATATAATTCCTCCAGGTTTGTCTTTCTCTCTGTAGCTATCTTTTTTATCTTGCTACCTAACTACCTATCTATCTTATCCATACACACACAAATTTATTTTTACATGATTGAGATCATATGAAAGCTACAACTTTGTATCTTATTTTATTTAACATTATATTGCATATGTACCTATGTCATTAAATTCTTTGGAAACATAATTTTTAATACCTAAATATATGCCTATCTAAGCATTCTCCTACTTGGACATTTAAATGTTTTCAATATTTCAATTATATATAACACATAATAAAGTGAAAAAATATAACTTTATGTACACTCTTGAGTTCATCAAGGACAGAAACTATTCTTATTCATCTTATTTATCACCTATCACAATGAACATATAGACATTCAACCATAATTTGTTGAATAAATGAATAAATAAAAGCAGCAATAAAACATTTTAAGTAGTGCTATAATTAATTATGAATTATCTTTCTAATATAAAAGTCTACTATAATAATTTAGTAATTATTAGTAATAATTATCAGTAATTATTACTAATAATTATTTAAAACCAAATACATACCTCCAGTAAGAAAGAGGAATTCTTTCTTATTAAAAAAAGGTTTTTTTGTTTTCCAAGATAATTTAAAAACCACAGACCAAAGCATTAGTCATATTTAATCTCATATTAACTTATGCTTGTTTAATTTTGTATCATTTTCTACCTTTTAATAATTTTTTATAAACTGCCTTTGCCTAAGACCAGGATACAACAGCAATACAGAAATTTTAAAGTACTTAATTCTTTATAGTTAAAGTACCTTAGAGTTTAAATGCTCTTAAAGCATCTGATTCCAAATTTTTTAGTTAATTGGAAAATCCTATACTACATTTGACTTTGAAGAAAATGTAAGATTTTTATAACATCACATGGAGAAAATCTCCATTATAAAGATATGGAGCCAAAACAAAGACATGTAAGAGATTTGAAAAACTCAATGACTAAAGATAAGACTTTAAAACACTTCAACCTAAGGGAAGAGACAATATAACAAGAACACAAGGGTGATTTTTATCATGTGGTCATAATTTGTAGTCTACCACGAGTTATTGAGTAAAAATGAACTTAGTTTCTCATATGTCTTTAATAATAGAAAGTTGTTTCCATTCCGTAGCCCATGATAATTGTCAAGATTACTGAAAGATAACTTAAATTGCATTTAGTAAACCATAATGTTAAAAGGAGTTAGTTCCTCTGTTCCTTTCCCTCCTTTCAGAAACAAGATCTTTAAAAATCTAACAAATGAAAAAAATTTCTTTTACTTTGTGCTTATTGCGACTGGCAATAAGATGAATGAGAATGGTTTCTGTCCTTGAGGAACTCATAGCTATTAAATATAATATTTATGGGCTGACCCCGTGGCGCACTCAGGAGAGTGTGGCGCTGGGAGCGCATTGGCGCTCCCGCCGCAGGTTCGGATCCTATATAGGGATGGCCGGTGCGCTCACTGGCTGAGCGCGGTGCGGGCGACACCACGTCAAGGGTTGTGATCCCCTTACCGATCACAAAAAGGACAAATAAATAAATAAATAAATAAATAAATAATTTTAAAAAGATAATATTTATATAAAATTATATTTTTTCACTATTATATGCTATAAATAGGTGAAATATTGAAAGATGTATATGTTATAAGGTTCTAATTTAAAAGTAGTGTCCATTATAAATAATATAGCAGTGAACACAAAGACACAGCCCTTGACTTCATGGAGATTACAAAAAAAAAAAAAAAAAAAAACTAGATTATTTTCTTCTAGGAAAATAATCTTACTTGTAGTATTACTACTGTTGTAGCTATAAAATGAGCCTGCTAGTTCATAACAAAGTAGAAGGTAATGGGAAGAAACTTATGAATAAAAGCAACGCTTTAAAATTAATATGTTTTGCTTAGAATTCTGGCAAGTCTTTTTCCCATTAATTATCCCCCTCCCACCACTTGCCCCACAAATAACATCTCCAATTAGTTAAAGATTTCATTTTATGTTCATGGCTATAAAAACAATGTTGTAAAAAGGACTTAATATGAGTATATTTAACATCATACCATACCTATACAAGTCTGCTTCTGGTTGCTGGCATTCTATCACAGCTACAAGAGTATCCAAATTGGCAACTGTTTGTAATAATGCTGTTTCTGGAACTGCCACATGTGTCTGGAAAAAAAAAAAAAGATTAAGTTGCACAGTTTCATGAGCCAAATGGGATCTTAGATATCAACTATTTCAAATCTCTTTTACAGATAAAATCATAGTATACTGTACCTGAGATCACTCAGCTAGACAAAAAAACAGAGAAAAAGAAAGCAAAATAAGAAGCAATGGCAGCTACTATGATTATCTGTTTACAGAGGCCATTTGCATATAAGGAAATTAAATCTGTTTGTGTAGTCACTACTGCTCAAAGATGATTATAAGCAATTTAATAGGAAAAAAATGTGAGTTTTAACCCTTGACTATACTCTGAAAACAGTAAATTTAAATTTGTCCCTTATCTAAAAAAGCACTGAAAATATTAAGATTGTAATTTTTCTAAAAGCACTTTTAGTTTTAACTTAAATTGACTAAACCATGTGAGGCTACCCTTAAAATAAATATACAGTCACCCCCTTTGTATCTGTAAGTTCTGTATCTGTGGATTCAACCAACCAAGGATCAAAAATATTCGGGAAAAAAAAATTGCATCTGTGCTAATCATGTATAGACTTTTTTTCTTGTCATCATCCCCTAAACAATACAGTATAACAACTATTTATATAGAATTTACATTGTATTAAGTGCTATAAGTAATCTAGGGATGATTTAAAGTATAAGGGAGAATGTGCACAGGTTGTATGCAAATATTATGCCATTTTATATGAAGGACTTGAGCAACAGTGAATTTTGTCATCCACGGAGGTAATGGAACCAATCCCTCACTGATACCAAGAGAAAACTGCATAAAAATATTAATTCTTTTTAAAAACTTTATAATTTTTTAAAAGATTTTAAATCAGGTTACACTTGATTACTTTGACCAAAGGAATATATCACTAAAACCCAAAGACATTTTGTGCACCAAAAGCAACACTCAAACATATACATGAACACACCTTCAGGTTAGTTTCTCCATCCAAACTAGCAGTTGTAACGTGACATGAACCATCAAGTCGATCTGAGGACAGAAGCACCAAATCTGCAGGGAAAATTTCATCTTTGGCTATTCGAACAATGTCACCCACCTATGAAGAATTTTGGGGAAATGTGAATATACAGATTTTAAAAGGTAAGGACTTATTTTTATTAGGTTTTATATATATAAGTAGCTTATCACAGCATTTTAGTGCAGGAAAGCAGACTTTTAACTAAAATATAATCAAGATTAGAATTATGTGCTGTGATACCAAAATATAATTGATTTCTATTATTTACCAGATGCATACCCGAATGTTTTTTGATCTAGTTTTTACAAGGCCACCACTTCGAACAACATAAACAGGAGCTCCATTTACTTCATTATCTGAGTTATGTCGTAACCAATCTTCATATCCCTGTAAATACCCAAAGAATAAAAAAATACCTTTTTTTATCATTACATTGTACTAAAGCATCGAAATATTACTCTGTGCCCCATAAATATATATAATTATTACTTGTCAATTAAAAAACATTTTTTTAGTATTCTTTGAAGATAATTTTATAAAAATAGGGGAAAAACACCATAAAACCTACCCAAATCATTTCATTTACCAGAATTATATTAGGTGATTTGATGCATATGCTCATAGGTATTTGGAATTTGATCCCAGTAGAAACTCCCTTCTCTTGGTTTCCATTATACACATGTTCCTTGTTTTCATAGGATCTCTCTAGTTACTTCTTCCCACTTTCTCTATGGCAAGTTCCTTTTATGTCATCTTTATGGGCCTTTTTCTCACATTTTATTTTTTCACTATGAGATTGCTTTATTCCTATGTCTTACAATAGTATAATATGTATACTAGTAAAAATACGCTGGTAATTCTGAAATTTATACCTCCAGCCCACATCTCTCTTCTGGACTCCAAACTTGAATACCTAACTGCTTTATTAATACTTCTATTTTGATATCTATAAATATCTTAAACATATTTAAAACTAAATTGATGATGCTATCCCCAAAGTCTGTTGCATTACCAATGTTTCCCATCTTGACAAATGACATCACCATCTACTGAGCTGTGCTTGCCAGAAATCTGGGCAGTCATTCTTGATTCCTACTTTATCCTAACACCGATTCAATCACTAAATCCTATTGCTCCTATGTACAAATGATATTTTAATAATAAAGTATAAATTCACAAAGCAGTATTACAGACAATAAATAGTAAAAAATGAACAAATTTTGAAACTGAGGTTGAGTTCTTTCACTTTCTGAAACCATAAACCAACAGAACTATAATTAGTACTTAAGAAAATATGGTAGGCTATATGGTTCATTATTAAAAAGGGAAACAGACATAAGTATTTCACAAAGAATTGTTTGATTAAATGTTAAGGAATAGCAATTAAAAAAATTTTTTTTAATTTTTAATGAATACTATTATTTTTTTCCATTCTAAGATGTTGTGGAGCCGTTGGACAGGAGGGGGAGAGGGGAAGGGGAGAGGAAATAAGGTAGGAGAAGGAGGAAGGAAGGGGGGGATGTGGTTGAGGCCTGTGGCACCCCCCTCATTCCCAGACAAGGGGGCTTCCAGTGGTGGCTTGATCATTGCTGTGCTGGTTGCAGGTGTCAGGGGGTGTGGCTGAGGCCCTTGGCCCCCCACCACGCAATTTTTTTAAGTAGAAAAGATTTCCTGTACTATTTTTTTTTTTTTTTTTTTTTTTTTTTTTTTTTTTCCGTGTCC